GTGCACAAGAAAGCGCTATCAGTAGTCACCTACGCATTGGTCAAACCTATAGATAAAACTGGTATATATGTATACGTTACTCACTATTTTATAGTAACATTTTATGTTGGATATATTATGCATACAAGAAAGAATTAAATGCTCACACTGACACATTGGACATACCTGCAGCTAAAATGTGTACATGCATATGTGTTACTCACTATTTTACAGTAACATATTTTATGTTGTATATTTTATGCATGCTGTTTTCAATAGGGTCCTCAAAGGCATTGCCTACTACCCTAAATATACTGAACTATACTGAAATATATCTGTATTACAAAAGGTGGAATTGGAGTAGATACAGTTGAGCAGGTACGTTCACAATAAACAACTTCTCACTACATTCATAACCTGAATTGAAACGCACTTTGAGCGATTTCCAACATCTAAAACACCGATCATCTTGATATAAGGACAGAACATGAAGTAATTTGTTCAACTATTCAAGATATTGTGATAACGGACGCCGATAAAGCGCACCTTGAATATATACGAGAAAACGTATACGCTTTCTAGTGATTCAACTTAAAACGCACTATCAGCTGTGCTGATCATCAGTAAGGTAAACCCTTAAGCAACACTCGCCAACCACGGCAATAAAGGCCCCAGCTTACGAAACCCTGCGGAACAACAGAGACCATACCAGCATGACTGCCCCTGCGGTATTTGTGACTAAAACGTGGAATAACAGAGAATGGAATATGCGATGAGATGTAGTGCTTAATGGCAAAAGTTGTCCCGCCCAAGTTTCTTACGAAAATCGTGGTTAAAGGTTTAATGCGTGAGTAAGGCGTAGTTAGTGCGTGTTGAATGCGCAGTAAGTGCACAGAAAGAAATAACGTAAAGCCGCTTGTATTTGTTTACTGAAATAAAAATATATGTGGAACACATGCAGTATGGACAAAGTCGACCAACATATAAACTCCTATTGGCCAACAAAGGATGCAGATTGACCAATAACAATATTAGAAGAACTCTTTTTGGTTAACATAATCGAGCAAGTGCTTGGATAGGCGGACATCCGACCTACTGAAAATGTGTAAGTCGTTTTTATTATTAACCACACAGATAAAAGCGGCCTCACAAGAAAGTCCTACCACAAAAGTCTTCTCAAACAATAGCTTTGTATCATAAGTGCAATTAAGATCACACGGCCGTAAATATTTCAGTTTTAAACCAATGTCTGTGCATCAGCCACGAAGCTCGGGGGTCCAAAAATAAGACCCCAACAAGAGAGATTAGCGAGAAAAACAAGCACACGTAGTGAGTAGATTCAGTAGAAATAACTTACCGAAATTTTTCTAACGGCTCTATAACGGAGCTGACGGTACGTTTGACCGCTAATTCTTCGGGGCAATCTGGAGGCAATTCGCTCGGCCTCCCGGCAAACTCGGAGAGAATTTCCATTGCTTTTACTGGCCCGATTTTGGGCACACCGGTTATGTAGTCGCTACCGCATAACAGCGCAATGCGCAAGAATTGTGCTTGATCAAGACCTGCGAAAAATTAGAGTTTAACTAGACAGGGTGACAGATGCTTAAGAAAGTCTGTGGTTTTTTATGACATAAACAACCAGTATGGGGATGGGCTATGCGAAAATGCTCACACGGCAAGAAAATAACTTGGAAAAATACCCTTCATAGTTCAACAGACAGACCAAGAGGTCGTCCTGTGCGTAATGTAGTTGTTATTTCCGGCCGAACAAGTTTCGTATCCTCCACGTCTCTTCTCCAGCGAAACTCCCGTCCGACCTACGAATGATAGTTGACCTCATACGAAGGCTGTCTCCTTCCTCCCTCGAATGCTGGCCGCCCTCTCGTGTTTGCCTTTACTCGATTGCACATGACTGAGCCCCCCCGGGTTTGGATCCCACGATACTATCGACTCCCCGCTGGTGCCAGAGGCAGTCGTTTTGACTTCCGGGGATGAAATCCCGTGAAGTGACTTTGGTGGAGAGCCATTTGTTCGTTCTCTCTCCCCCCTTCTTGATCCAGCTGCAGCGGCTACTCCGAAACCCACTCGTCCAGCCACCCCCCGCCATTGACACTTTCAGTTTGCCTCTGTTCACGAACCCCCCCCGTTCTCGCGGTGGTGTTTCACACCAATCCTGATGCTATATGAATTGTCTCGTGAAATCATATAAAAGCGGAGCCACTCCCCTCTCCCACTAACACACACAAGCTTTCCCAAGACTAGTTTCGTCCTGCGT